ACAAGTACAAGTACAAGTACAAGTGCAAGTACAAGTACGTCCCTGCGAAGGAGACTTTTATGCCGAAAGTACCGCGCCAGCCAGACGAAACAGGGTTCCGCTTGGATTTGTTGACGGCATGTTTTTGTTTTTGCGTTTAGGGTTTGGAAGTGCTTAAAACTCGAGTTTAGGGGAGTCGCCTGTGGCCTTGGCGGGCTCTTTGTCGGGGAGTTGCAGACTCAAAGTAGCTTAGGCTGAAATTCGCCTCGGCCCCGGCCAAAGCCGTCAGAGGTTTATTCGGATTCCCTCTATTCCTGACCCCACGTGCAAAAGCTCCCCCGCCCCCCGGCCCCTCCCCCGGCTCCCCCTCCCCCCGTGTTCCCTCCCCCCTCCCGTTCGCGCTGCTTTCTCATTGCTTCCGCAAGCCCAAAATCTTGAAGGCACCAGCAGTTCGTTGGCCCGCTTTGCGGCCGGGCCGAGGCGGACGACGCGAAGCGTTTAAAACTACCACGCCTTCCGCACGAAACGGGGTTCGTAGGTAGTCGAATATAGTGAAACATTATGTGATATGATGTGACACGAAACGAAATGATCTGATATGAGACGATATGAAACCATAGGGTAAGCTCTGGTATGATCAGGAAAGCAACATGACCATCACCATAGAGACTACCACATGAAACGATCTGCACAAACCGGACGTCACTATCCCACCCCGCCCCCTCCCCCAAACCTCAAGACAAATGAAGCAACAAGTAGGCAAAAACAGGCGCAATCTTCCCCCCTCGGCTGCAGAAACAACAACTAACAACCGACAACCGAGAACCAAGAGCCAACACCACCACCACCACCACCACCACCACCACCGCCGCCGCCGAGGTCGAAGAAAAAGGCCACGAACGATAACAATAACCACAAGAACAAATACCGGCAATCACTGGTAGCAACACTGTAGCAAGAAGAACAAGAAGCATAACGCTGCCACCACCTCCACCGCCGCCACCACCACCACGACCGCCAGCCCCAACAACCACAACAAACAACAACAACACCAGCAGCAGCAGCAACAGCCACAACCATAAAGACAACCAGTGCCAAGTCAACAACCACCACCACAGCGCCAACCGCAATCACAGACACAACGACGACGGCAAGGACAGACGACGACCCTGACGGGGACGAGGAGGAAGGGGGGAGAGAAGACGACGACCATGGCGACGACCAAAGCCTTTAAAACACAACGCACGACCATGTCCCCAACAAATGACGGCAGACAGCAATAAGGCCACAACGACGATCAGCAACAGCAGAACGCACGCTCCGGCAAATCAAATATCCTCAGCATCGGGAAGACACCATCGTACTAACGGGCATAATCACACCGGCTGGCTAGCCATGCAGTCGTGCCCCGGAATCGACGGACCGAGCGTGGGGCGACGGCCAGATTCGACCAAATCACGGGGTTGTCGGGATCGTACTCCAGACCTGCTCACTTCGTCCAGCTGGCTATACTTTGATGACACCAGGAAATTATCGGATATATATACAGCTCGCAAGCAAACGAACACTGGACCTTGGCCTGTTGTGCCAGTGCGCTGTCTGTACTGACTGTCAAGAGAGCCCGCTTGCCAAATTGAACTACCAGAAGAATCAGAAAATGTGCAGCAGAAGATCTATGCGTGCATGATGACTGAGCGGGATTGCAAAGGCAGGATTCCGAAAGGTCGTCTGCCTCGTGCAAGGACCTCTTGCGCTTCCTGCAACTGGTTGAGCTGCGCGTAGGCGTAACCTGTTTGTATAACCAGTAATTATCATGGGTGGCTTAGGCTTGGGCTCACGGGACTTCGGCGACACGCACAGTGAGAGATGTACAAATCATCCCTTTTCACTCAAAGTCTGCGGCTACCGGTGGGTGCTGCAGGGCTCCGAGGAGACACTTACAGGGAGTTTTCAGATGCGAGACGACCTGTCTCAGATGCTGCTCTTGAGCTGGGAGCCAGGCCCAAAGCATTCTGTCCGTGCGGGACTGCAGCATTCCTGCATCATCTGCCGACGGGCACTGTCTGACAAGCATTTATACCACAATTTATCAAGATATTAAAAGCATGAAATTGACAATGAACATAAATAAACGCGTTAAACTAAGTAGATATAACATGTAAAAGCATATATGTAGATGGATGGACAGATATACATAGACTGTATACACATATACTACAAATACAGTATACCTCTTGAACAGTATGTGTGTATGTACACATCTATCTAGTTACCTACCTGTGTGTATGTGTCAATTTCACAAGTCATGCTGCTTTTGCTTCTGGCAATCCACACTCAACCCATGGCCTAAAGCTCTACGATGTCGGCTTTGTGGTGAACAGTCAGAGGCTTAATCACTCAGGGTTTGATGGGTGTGTCTGCTCTTGAAAGAGGGGTCCTATTCTGGGAAGTCGGAGTCTTTATGAACAAGACAATCCCGAAGCACGTTTGAGTTGCCAGTGAAGACATTGATGGTCTGACATAGATTTGAGGTAAATCGAGTAGTGCTTTTCCCAAACTTGTCTTCATCGGTAACATCCGTTCAATAGACTGGGTTGCTCCGTCAGCACACGCGCAAACACTTATGAATTGAGAAGTCTATATAGCTTCTCACTATAGAATATGACTCATGACCAACAGAAGTGAGTCTCCCGAATTGCACCCGAGCAGAGAGCTTGGCTCGTGTCTCAGCTCCTGGAGAGACCGTACTCCAGAGGCTGGATGGCCTCTGACGAATCCGCGGCGAAGTGTCTTTCGAGATAAGGGCCGGACAGTTTCGGACTAAGGGTCTCGTGCCTTATGTGTAAAAAGACTTTTGCGGGTTTGGGGGTTTCGGCTTCCGTTTGCTATGGTAAGAACCATGCACTGTGGGAGTCCCGATGCTCGGAACTGCTCAGCCAGAGCCGAGTGTCTGAAGTGTGTCTATTCAATCAAAAATCTGTAAGATACCTGCTGCACGAGTTTTAGACTTGTTTTTGGATCCTATTCATTTTGAATGGAGCTCGACTGCTATGGCCTATCTGGGTCTTGGTGCCACGGGCTATCAGGTCGGCACGGAGTCCCAAAGCTTCGCGTTTGTTACTGCCGCCACTGGAAAGGCGTCTTGCCAAAGGTGTACCAGGCTTGGAATGAGAATTGAGTTTCCATGTTGAGCCCACAGAGTTGCAGATTCCGTTGCTGACTGCAGTGCTGACTGCGGCGTGCATGACCGAAGGAGCTCATGCAGCCCTAAAGCTTCACGTCCAGAAGCTGTTGCTTCTGAGCCGCCTCTTGGAACTTGCCCAAGGCAACCAGCGTAAAGCCATAGTCCACATACAACATCCAGAGATTAAACCTTGAGGCAGGGCAAGGATACCCAATTCCGAGACCATTAATCCTAAGATCGTTGCTCAAGTTCGTGCGTCGGAGGGATCCTGTATGGGCCTGTTGGTTTCGGGTTATTTAGGTGTTGACTTACTTCATGCCTCGAGACGAGATTCCCAGTCTCAGCGCGTGTGCTTGGATCTCATTCCCACTACCCGCCGGCCACAGATCGTTCGCGAAAATCAACCGGAAAACTTGTACCCATAAGCCTAAACCCCGTATGTTCAAAGCTGCACAGCCGAGGATTTGGGATTAGGGCTTGGCATTTGACATCAGGGTTGCCTAGGCTTGGGATGTCTGTTGTCTTCATCTTTTTTTGAGCGGGGGGGGTCGCGATTTTGGGGTCAATCTCGGTTTAGGAGAACTCATGTGGGGTTCAGCGCCAGGCAGTGCTATGAGGATTTTGCATTCCATGGACAACAGGCTGTCTGGGTTAGCGGTCCAGGGTTTCGGGTCGAGAGCCGAGCGCAGATGCACACGAACCTTGGGCCCTCGCGCAGAGAATCCCACTCCATGCCCACGCCTCGTGCGCTTGCAAGCTTAGGCCCATGCTTTGAGTCAAGGGGTTGTTCAGCGAGAGACTGACTGAGCTCCTGCAAACCTGCACCCGCCCCCTGTGTGATCGCCCCAAGGTCCGAAGAAGCCGTCGGGAATCCTATCATGGCCGAGAGCCGCACAGAATCTTCTCGAAGCGCTCCAAAGCGAGATGGTAGCGGCCCGTTCTCGGCAAGCGTTGCCACTTTGACTGAGCTTCAAGATACAGGGACTATGCTTCGGGACTTAAAGTGACTTTACATGGTAAGCAGCTGAGGGCAAAGGCTCGATGTAGACCTGCGCTATGCAGTGGTCTGTCAGCGCCTGGCACACTCCACTTTGAATGGCGATTCATGCTCGTCTCTGACAGAACCTTTCCGCTACTCTTCCAAAATTACATTGGGAAAACACATGCTGCAGAGAAAACTCGGTCATGCATGGTCATGTTCTTGGTGATGCGGTGGACAGAGCCCCGAAGTATCTAGACTCGTCACTCTCTTTGCGTGCGCTTGTTGAGGCAACTGAATGAAACAGCTAGGCCATTTTGACAGGCTGACTGCAGGCAAGCATTGGATCAAGTCTGCCAGATGAATCCAGGCCACGTTGTCATCCAGAATCATCAGCGAAGCATTGAACCTCTCGGTGCTTGCTAATTAGGGGTGGCCGGGCAGTATGTGCAGAACCGAAAAAAGGCAAGCGTCAACGACGCTGACAGAAAGCTGCAAGTAGGGTCCCGGCTCGCGCAAAGCTTCTTCGCTTTGTCCCTGCTGATGGAAGACCTAAGCTTAGGGCATACGTCAGAGTCGTGAAGCTCGTCCATCATCTCCACACGAAGCTCGATTCAACAGTACTAATTGCTGAAGCTCCCACCGTCCCAAGCTGGTGCCGGGTTTTTACTGATGTCGGCCAGGACAGAGCATCCGCCATGTACAGTGCCTGTCATGGCATTCGTGCCCTTCCGCACTACTCCATGCACCTATCATGTTTTGAAGGAAGGACTTCTGACCGGCAGTGCGTACGAGCAGTAGATTGGCTAGTCTGTTAAAACTTAAAACTGTTATCATCAGACTGACCCGGGCGACAAAATCGGCTAGACTCGCTAGACGGTAGCGGTTACGTGCGCCAGCACGTGTGATTCCATCAGCCTCTGACGATCGCCACTGCCACACACGCTGTCCACAGCGCCAGACGTAGACAGCCCTTTCATGCACAAACGGGCTAAGGCTGGAAGAATCTCTGGCGCACTGCACAAGCTTGCAACGAGGAGCGCCGAACGGCTTAGCTGGACTGGACTGGCCATAGCAGGATCCATCAGATCTATACATACTCCGGAAGCCCTCAACCCCAAACCTACCTGTGGCTCATGTATTTGCTTTAGCACGGCTGTCTGCATTGAAGGGTCGGATGTCAGGTCATGGTCAAGAAGCGGCCTAAGCCTTGAAACACATCAGCTGTCTCGGGTCGCCGCAGCAGCGCAGTGGCTAATCGGAAAGGCCTGAGATGCCGATCGCCAGTCACGCTTAGCACAACATCAATTTGGCTGTGGCCATGAATACAGCTGCCAAGTAAAATTGTATTGCGCTGCGTTCCTGCCAGTAGCTGTTTTGACGTGATAATTACGAGGGGCTTTCAGTCTCGTTGTCGCTGTATGGCCACGATTACTCTCACAGCTCGTCTTCATGTCAACATACAACGGTTCCTACCAGGGCAGAACTGAATTCAGAATGTGCCGGCATGTTCAGAAAAGTGCTGGGAAAGAGCATGTGCTGGTCTGTATACTATGTCGCTGAAAACAAAATGCGGAACACCGGATCACTGAACCCGCCACCAAGGCTTGCCTGATCCAGATTTATGGAGTCAGGGTGTCTTCAAAAAATGACCCCGAACGGGCTTGTCTCAAAATTACCCGAATCACTCATCCCTTGAACCGCGACGTCTGCAACCAAGCACATCTTTGGTAAGGCGAAGGCCAGGAACGGCGGCGCCCTAGGTGCTGCCCCAGGGCCTCTCTAAAGCTTCCGGAGGCTAAGGGCATGAAAAGCAAACTGAGCGAGGCGCCTGCATTTTTGGTCACGCTCATTGCTGCTATGTTTGGTGGCCTTCATAGTAATCGAGGGTGTTGGGAGTATCGGCCCGGCTAGTTCGTACTATAGGTCCTGCCATGATCATCAGTGCTGATATTGCTGTGCGTTGTCTGCCTGGTACGTGTGGTTTCTACGATCATATTCTTCCTGCATCACTCTCTTGAACTTGCTGCTTGCAGTACTTGTTGTCGTTCGGGCTGAGTTGTTGTATGAAGACCGTGGTCATTGTTGCTAGCACTCTCAGCACTGGTACTGTGACTACTGTACCAGCACCGCTATTACTCACAACTGCCCGTACAGAATAGTATCATCTCACGAGCATCGGATGCTGGGCAGGCTGGGTTGCTCAGCTGGTTCATGCAACACGGGCATGCCCAGAGAAGGGCAACCAAAGAAACAAACCCAAAACCCACAATCCAACCAAAGCCCTCCCCTAAACCCATAACCCTAACCCTAAATCCTGAACCCTAAACCCCTGCGACTGGGACAGCCCTTCAGATCAATCTACAGGGGATAAGGATCCCTACAAGTACCACATTATATAGGATGTGTATTCAACTGAGTCAAGAAATTGAGGGACAATCTGGATGATGTGGGTCTAAATACGGTGACGACTTGCAACTACAGTGCAGGGTTGTTGTTGCAGACAAACAGAAAGGCAGAGGCAGAGCAGACAGACAGCGTAGCGGGATCATTCAGGCTCGATCTAAAGACCAAACGTTGAGGCTCTATACGACTTGGACTGGGAGAAGCGCCGCAGCCACCATTGCAGCCCCGACGGTGCATGGATAGAGCCTGGCGGCTTGGGCAGTTGGCATCTCGATCTTTTGCACTGCTTGCTGTGCCCGAACCATATTCTTGGGGACTTCATGCTCGATCGCAGTCGACAACAACGGGATGGCACAGAAGAGGGCCTATATTACTTTGCAGTCTGCAAGTTGGACACAGCAGTTTGCCAAGATTGGCGCGCGCACCGCCTGAATGCTGCATTGCACTGTCACGTGTGCCTATGATCTTTAGGAAAGACTTCTTGCTGGAACGGCCGAATCGGACCGTCTGTCACATGGCTTCGCGCAAAACACAGTCGATTCTTAAGTTCTTCGTGCTGAGGTCGTTGCAGCCGTTCGCCAACCGTCACGCCAACCTGCCACTAAAACTCACAAGCAAGGGTTACGAAAGCGGACAGCTGCGCAGAACTTACACATACATACATGTAAGTTGTAAGTGTAAGTTATATACACATACGCCATGAAAAACGAGAACCACAGACAAACAGCAAGACCGACATACTTGCATAATTTCGTTTTTGTTGCAGGTGTGTCTGTATGTGTGTATATATATATATGGCTGTTGATCTAAATACCTTCATCCCGGAATGACCTCCTTCGCGGAAAGAAACCTTGATTTTCGCAACACCGTCCCGAAACTTTCGCGGAGGCATATTTCCATACGTTTGCAAGTTCGACCCCCGAATTATAAGCCCCAAATGAATCTGCTAACATATATATATAATATCATATATACAGGCACGTTAAATTTCCTATCGAAATTCCTTGTTGCATACTTCCGACTGCTGTTGCACCTCCTCCTCCTCCTTCGATGCTGATGCTGCTCCTGCATCTGCTGCGCTGCTGCTGTTGCTGCGGCTGCGTCTCCTAGTGTTACTGACACTGCTGCTACTGCGGCCACTGCTGCCGCCACTACTACTACTAGTGATACCACTACCGCTAGTACTACTACAGAAGAGGAGGCTGTGGGGCCTGCATGTTTGCAACCCACTATGTTCAGCAGTTTTGTTCGTTTCGACTGGTTGTGTGTGTGGCCGTGGGTTTCTGTGTCAGTTGGTCGCTCGAGTGGTGCACATTTTCGTTTCCAACTACAACATCAACTCTGAGTTGTTACAAACCACGTCTCTACTACTACGACGACTACTACTACTACTACTCCTGCTCCTGCTCGAGCTGCAAAAAACAACAACTATTACTACTACACCTACCTCACCGCCACCACCAACACCACTACTTCTAGCACTACTACTACTACTACTACTACTACTACTACTACTACTGCCACTACCACAACTACTACTTCTTCTACTACCACTACTGCTGCTGCTGGTGCTGCTGCTACTACTACGACTCCTGCTGCCGCTGCTACTACTGCTACTGCT